ACCCCACATCATAACACAACATAAATCCAGATAGATTTCTTGTTTTGGGCCAAGCAGTGTTTATGATAAACCTTTTCTACCTCTCAATCATACCAAAAACCTTGAAGAAACTGATGTGSAAGTTGCTGTTGTGGGTTTGGTTTGGACTTTATTTGAAAACTGGGAGAACAAAAAACCAGTTGTGGGTTGAGATCTGCCAGAGCAGAGCAACATCAGCAAGACCTTAAAGATCAGGGTTGGCCCATTTACAGAAGTACAGTTCAATATCAAATCCTAACTTTAAAAACTGCTAAGTGTTTACTTCAGGTGTGACTGGAAATCAAATGTGCTTATTATCGTGTTGTAAACTGTTTTCCCAGCAGCTGTTTGTGTTGTTACAGTGAATTCACCACATTAAAAATGACAGCGCACCATTCATGTGAACCATTTGAGGGACATTTGRACCATGCAGTAATGCTCCAGTCATGGCTCAAAGGGAAATTTATCTGAATTCAACTATTGCTCACTAAATTTCTCTTCGCCCTGTATTTCTCCCAGTCCGACATGTCAGATTGAAGCTATATATGAAATCAGGTCTAACAAGGAAAAAAAAAAAAAGAAAAACAGAGACTTTATTCAAACTGATGGAGAACATTTAAAGCAAGTTGAGGYAAAAGTCACAGTTTAATATGAACGATGCTTTCTCCTCTCCAAAGCTAAACACATAAACCATCATCTGTTCACACTTTCAGTGGGAATAAATTGGACACATTAGTGCTATTCAATATTTCACAAGACAAAAGACATTTYCTAAAATGAAATGATAAGCCGATTAATCTAAGACTTTAACATCGAGTCTCCAAGCACCTGATGTGAAACACGTTTTCTCTTCTGCGCTGTTAGAGATGCGAAGATAAAGAAACGTCTGCAGTCTTATTTGAGGGGAAGCCTGGCCTCAGCACCAGCATGTGGTCTCAAACTGAACACGGGCCGTGCTGCTCCTCGTCACGCTGTTTTTGGACGTCTCTGCTCCTCCTCTGCAGCTCCCAGTCCTCCATCTCTTTGTCTAATTCCTTTTATTTCCCTCCAAGGTTCGACATAATTAGCCCTCCAAGCTTGAAACCTTATAATCATAACAGGCAATCATGTGCCAATAAAACCAAGTAAATGTTATCGAAATGATGGCAATATTGTTTGCATCACTGGCAGCAGAAGAAATTAAGTTTTGTTTTCAGAGACAAAAGCAAGTGGATTGTGTTTCAGGCAGACGTTGGTATTTTGGATAAATAATCCAAGATTGTCTACAGAAAATGATCTGCTAACACTGAAGACATGGTGACATATTTTGTGCCTGTGTTCTGAGATTAGTATTTACCATCCATCCCCAAAGAGAACATCTCCTGTCTGACCCAAATGGATCACAACAGAGCATCCTCCTGGACGCTTTCCTATGGAGGTGCTTCAGGGATGTCTGACTGGTAGGAGACTCCGGAGATGACCCAGGACACAGGGGTGAGACTGTGTCTCTTGTCTGGTCTGGGAAATACACTGGAATCCTCCCAGAAGAGCTGGAAGAGGTGGCTGAGAGAAAAGAGAGGTCTGGGCTTCCATCTCAAGCTGCAGCTCCCAAGACCTGACTCTGGAATAAGCGGTACTGGATGGATGGATGGATGGATGGATGGATGGATGGATGGATGGATGGATGGATGGATGGATGGATGGATGGATGGATGGATGGATGGATGGANGATGGATGGATGGATGGATGGATGGATGGATGGATGGATGGATGGATGGATGGATGGATGGATGGATGGATGGATGGATGGATGGATGGATGGAAAAAATCTTCTCAGTCAACATTTATTCAAGAGTCTTTAGGATAAAACCTTAGAACATCGTCTGTTGTTTTTTTATGAAAAATGTTTACTTTTACATCTGTGTCATTCGTTTCTWTAGTTTCCATCAAGTTGTTTCCACTTTGTGTTCTTTTGTTGGRTGTAAATATCCTGTCCTCTCTGCACATTGTTTCAAATCATGACAGAACATACTGTACCTGTCCACCCACACTCTGGTTGTCATGTTGTCTCCTCCAGCTGACGAACACCTGACTTGCTGTTTTTTTTTTTTCTACATTTTTCCCCCACTTGGTCCCTCGTTCCAGACCCCAACTGCTCACCTGTTTTATGGTGAATTAACTTTTTTGCTTATTTCCTTGTGGCTCATATATTTCTTCCACTGCTGGGATCCTGAAGGCTTCAGGATTTGAGTGAGAGACAAAGAATTAGTTTTTAGTTTGAATTAGTGTTTCAGGTGTCAACCTTGACATTTTCTTTAGTTTTTTGTAGGGCTGTCAAATGATTAATATTTTTAATCCGATTAATTCCAAAGTAGCTGTGAATTAATCTTGATTAATCTTTATTATACATTTATATTGCATATTGAAAAAATAAATTGAGATATTAATTAGTTTTTAATGTTTTTATTTAGAAAACAAAACTGATGCTTAGACATGGTTTTTTTTAATATAAAACAGGACCCAAAAATGCTCCAAACATATTTGAGTCAGTCAAATTTTGTGCAGAATAATGAGGTTAAATAAAGAATTCAAGGATTTTCATTCCAAATGAGTACTACATGAGGAATGAAAGATCGATGCTAAGGTCACAGTTGTCAGCATAACATAAATAAATAAAATAAAATAAGCCATAAGAAGACAAAAAGGAAAAAGACATAATGTGTCACACATGGAATTTTTTATTATTTTATTTATTTAACCTTTATTCATCCAGGTAAACTGTTTGCGAACCACTTCTCTAAAAACATGACCTGGCATGCACTGAGTGCATTGCAACGTACAAACCTACATATTCAGCCGTAGTAAAGTGATTGTAAATTTTAATCGCGATTAAGATTTTTAATCTGTGCCCATGCAGCACTAAAATTAATCAGAGTTAACTTGTTCAATTTTACGGCCACAGTTTTTTGCCCTTTAAGCTACATTGAATTGTTCTTGTTTCTGAAATGAACCAGGGTAAAACTGATAAGATGACATCACTTATAAAGCTGCTTTTCTTTTTAAAACATCCTCAAAATAAAACTGTGAGCTTCTATTAAATGCCAACTTTTGCTCTGATCAACTAAGAAGTTTTATTTATGGGTTTATTTAGAGCCTGTGCGGCTCCACTAAAGGTTTCTTTTCTTTCTCTTTTCTCTTAGTGTTTTGTTCAGCTTTTGGGCTGAGAGACGTTCTTACATTACTTTTAATGAAATTGTATTGTTTTTTTTTAATGGCTCCCATTGGAGGAACAGGTTTATTAGTGGGAATTAGGTGAAAATGAGACACATTTTGGTTCAGAAATTCTATAAATCAGCACAGAAAATCTGTTTTAGCTGAAAATTTCATTTTAGCATCAGGTTTCAAGAAAAAAATGTTTAAAAAAACCCACAAATTTTCATTTTAAATTATTATTTTTTCAACTTTAAAATCCGGAAAGGCATTTTAATGAAATATTTAGAGGTTTATATATTTTTAGTGTTTTTAATAAAGTCATGAGAAAAGTCTTGAGTTAATTTAGTTACATTTCTAGAACTTTGCAGCACTTGACAAAACGTTTTGCCCATATGAAAAAAAAAAACCGACCACTCAGCTCTGCTGTAAACTAGAGAGAGTTGTTTCAGGTCAGGTCAGATAATATTGTTAGCTGCAAACTTCTAAAAAGAAAGTCATACTTTGTCCTTTTTGTGTTTCTGTTAGCAAAATATCTCACAAACAGGAGGATGTAGTTAAACAAACTTTCAGAAAGTACTCACTGCACATCTACACTTTTAGAGTCTCTATCTAACACAGAAATGGTTGGAAATCGGTCAGTTTTGAAGCTTAAATGGGATGTGGTAGCTGAGAGTCATCCCTCACATGGATTGTGGTGCAAARTGCACACAATGATGTTTCCAAGGTTTAACCAAAACAGCTACAACTCCAGAGACAGTCCTGGTCCTAGAGGACCACTATCCTGCAGGTTTAAGTTGTTTCCCTGCTTTTAGTCATTTTAATCACTCGTTCATTCAGATCAGGTGTGCTGAAGCAGCAAAACATCTAAAACACAGTGGTCCTCCACAGACTGAGGACCACTTAGCCTGAAACTCTGGCATAAAAGCTATGAAGAAAAGTCATTTAATATGTAAAGAAAAAGAGATTTGGACAATGACATGTTATAAACTGGGCTTCAGCAGCCTCGCTTCTTGATCTTTGCTCTGTTTTCAACCACACAACATAAGAACAGTGGAGATTATTTGAATTTGAGTCTATTTCTGGATMAGACTGTTTCCCTGAACTCAGCAGAGTCCAACAACCAGCCCAGCACCTCCCACAGCAGACAGACACCAACATCTGGGGTTGAACATAATTATTTTTCTCTCTCTCTGTGTGTGTGTGTGTGTGCGTGCGTGCGCGTGGTGCAAAGGTTCATTCATCCCAGACTCCTGATGCGCAGTCAGGAGGAGCAGCCGTGCGTAGAGCGCTGCTCCTGAACGTCTCCTCCCCTGTTCCTGCGGTGTTCAGGCTGCTTCTCCTGCTCCTTCCATCGCTTCCTTGTTGTGCCAAAACCTGCACCCACACCGCCAGAGTAAGACCAGACTTCCATTTGCACATAACACCACTCCTCTTTCTCCCCCCTCTCTTTTTTTCTCCTCCTGTCCGCCACCATCCCTCTGCTTCATGTCCATCTTGTCCTGATCCGTGTGCCGTTTGCGTCCTCTCACCTCTCCACCATCCATGTGCAGCTCCGCGTCACACTCAGTTTATTCATAGGGTGGATACTAAAAGCAAACAATTTACATCGTTTTTTATTAATAATAATAATATTGATCTTGTTATCAGCGTTGTGAAATTAACTGAAACAAGCGAATTTCATTTATTATTATMTTTACGCATCAACAATCGCACGTAGTCTGGAGAGGAGAGAGCAGGGTTTTTTTCAGGGGGGTCGGATGAGGTGGGGGGATCTGAGGAGGTTTTGCTGAAGGCGTCGCGTTGAGGATACAAGGAGAACTAATCGGACCGGGTTAAGTTTGCTGAGGTCTAGGAGGGGAAGGAGGAGAGGGGGCGCGGTGGAAGAGGAAGAAGAAAAAAAGAAAAACCCATAGCGGAGCGTGGAAAGCTGTACGCGTCATTTCCAAGGCAGCAGCGCAACAAGCAGCCCCTCCAGCAGCCCGCTGCGTGGATGGCACACCGGGTGGAAGTGGTGCAGGGGGGAGGGAGATCCACGCTGGGACCAGGATCCAGATGAGGTTCGGGGGCTCTCTGTGAGTATCTGTGGGACCGCTGTGCGCAACTGGACCTGTGTGTTTTCTCCTCCATTTTTTATTTTATTTTTTTTTTTTTATCTGCAAGTTCCATTCATCACATCCTGTGCGCTTCTTATTTGCATTTTTCCCCTCTTCCACCGCCTCTAGCTGCTGAATCAGCTGGCATCTTTGGGTTGTGTCTATTAAGACTCTTGCCATGAGAAATGTTGCCCATGCAGCTCGAGTTTATGTAATATTGCTCAAACTTTCATTGCTGGTTGTATTAATTACAGACGACTTGTCTTGCAGAGCAAAATGAGAGATAAGTTCATCTCCTGAGGCCACAACTTCTACACCGGGCTGACTCACCGACAACTGCACCCAGGTGAGCAGTACAGACTCATAATAATAAAAAACAGGCTTCATAACTGCAAACACATAAAAAGCCTGTTCCTATATGAGCAAGTTTTTATTTTTATTTTTCCTCTCTCTGGTCTCTGAAGCCCACAGCTGCATGCAGACCAGCAGCGTCTCTGCCTCTGTTGATTTCATATTCATGGTTTTGTGTATTCTTTATTTTCCCCTCTTCTTGGTCGTACTTACTCCTAGCAGCAGAGATGACATTTTTAAAGACGCCTCATCACCATTTAATGAGCACACATACAGAAACACACTCAAAACAAGAGCGAGCATCCAAATGACTCATTATGTACAAGTGTTTATTTGCCAAGTTTAAGCCTTTGTTCAAGCTGGTAAAAACAATAAATAAATAAAATACTTGTATGTGAAATTATTCAGATGAAATGATTTTGTTTTGGTTTATTCTTAGTGGGGTTTGTGTTTGAAATGAGAAGAATACATAAGCCAGAGTTGTATTAGCGTCAGACCTTGAAAATAAGGTTTTGTGCCGTCTAATCAAACTGTTGTGGAAGACAAGTTTTAGCTCAATCTGACTAATTTAGAGTCATTTTTGTGTTGATGTTTGGTAAAAAATGGTTAATGGGCTGAACTTATATAGTGCTTTATCAAGTCCCTCCYGACCCCAAAGCACTTTACTCACACATTCACACACTGATGATGGTAAGCTACATTGTAGCCACAGCCATCTTAATTTGGGTTGACTCCAGTCATTGATGTACATCGACTGATTCGTTTCTCAGAGTTTCATTATAATTCAATCATTAAATCGTGGAATATTTTGCTAACAGACACACCAGGTCACCTCCAATGCTCAAAATTTAAGCAAAGATGTTATGTGTTGAGTTGCAATTGGAGTATGTGATGTGAGTGACTCTCAGCTGTAACAGCTTCAGATTTTAGATCAACATCTGTAAACCTGACTGAGTTGGAGCCACTTTTGTGTTTTTTATTGTCAATTAGCTGCGGCGGCCATCTTGAATTGGGTTAGCTTCAACAGTTAATTAGTTGTAGATGTACAGGGGTTGGACAATGAAACTGAAACACCTGTCATTTTAGTGTGGGAGGTTTCATGGCTAAATTGGACCAGCCTGGTGGCCAATCTTCATTAATTGCACATTGCACCAGTAAGAGCAGAGTGTGAAGGTTCAATTAGCAGGGAAAGAGCACACTTTTGATCAAAATATTACAATGTACACAACATTGTGGGTGGTGTTATGGTCTAAAACCAGGTGTTTCACTTTCATTGTCTAACCCCTGTAGATCCAGTAATTATTTTCTGCACGTTTAACTGAAATTCACCCACTGGTTCATGAGATGTTTCGCTAACAGACCAACAGTGACCTTAAAGAGTTGATGGCAAAATTTAAAACAAATATCCCACTTAATCTGTTAGCACCCAAAAATAAACGTCGTGGATAAGTCTCAGCTAATAACTCACCAAATTTTAGGTCAATATATGTAAAACTGGCTGTGTTGGAATCATTTATGTGTTTTTTAAAAATCTGTTTGCTGTGGCAGCCATCTTGAATTCAGTTGACTCCAAAAGATAATCAGTTGTAGAGGTACATTCACTAATTTCTTCCTGTGAGTTTCATTGAAATCCATCTAGTGGTTTGTGAGATATTTTGCTAACAGACACGTAAAAACGTGCAAAAACAATATAGATAATTAGCATCCCTGGATTCAGTACAATGTATTTAAGGTTAAATATTTTAGTCTGTGCATTTGTTTGTGCTGCAGATATGTAAATAAACCAGACTTGGCRTTAGTATGGCTTTAATGCATTTAACTGAACACATTCTGCCTCAATACTGTGGGAAGAAATGTTTCTAATCTAGCTTTTCCACCAGTTGGAAAGCTTGCTTTTGCCATAGAAACGTCACCCACTCACACATTTGTGCAGTGCCGTGTGCCAGATGAAGTCACTCGTATTCGGTTCGATTTCATGCATCTGCATTTGACAACAACTGGGTTGTTCTCTGACCTGCTTGCCGCTGTCCATGGTGCTGACCTCGCCGGCTCGCAGTGCGGTGATTGTTGTTTCTCCACAAACAATAATTCATCAGTCGATCGGTTATGAGCTCGCAGAAACAACAAAATTTATGTCAGCGTCCGTGTCGTACCGCTTCTTCCCTGAGAATGATTCTCAAAAGGAAACATGCACTCCCATTATAGGTCAGAGAGCAGGCTGAGGCTCGTCTCCGCTGCATGTCAATGAGAGCGAGTGCTTAACAGTAACCAGTCACTTCCACCTTGCTGTTCTCAGGAAAACCTGTTTTTGAGAATTTAATGCTCGGATCRGCAGACACCAGAATAAACTAATAGACATTTTTTTGTGTCTTTTGCTCAGCTTCAGATGTTAATCCTCTGAACAGTATTGATGCCGCCGAGTGAATTATTCATTCAAGCTGCTAAAATGCTGCTGCCAAGAAAACCACTGTGGAATTAGTTTAAGTTCTCCCATGATGTAGCTTAAAATCGAGGTGTTTACCGCATTTTAGTATTAAACTCTGTTTTCCCTGCTGCAGCTCAGATGCATGTTTTTTTTTCATCAGTAAAGATCATTTATAAACTCTGCTCTAAGTTTAAGCTACGTGTTGGCTTTAGTTATTTCCCTTGATACTACAAGTTCCAAGGAGTAAAAGTTTCTCTATTTTCTTTGGGCACAATGGACACATTATGCGTTGGTGTTTGACCAGATGGTTCAATACCGGTGACTCAACCATAAGTACTGTAGGTGCCGATATTTAAGTTCAGACCAACCAAATTGTCAGATCCTACATCATTTGCATACAAAAGAGCCCCAACTCTGAGTGCTCTGGTTATTTCAGGAGAAAAAAATGAGCATGAGCACAATTCCGCTAATCCGCTAGTAGCAGAACTAGCTTCTCATTTAGTGGATTAGCTGTTTTTCTTTTTTCTAACTTTGGAAACAGTTAGGGAATCAATTAGCTTCCGCTAAATTGGGTTCAGCTAATTTTAAGTCCACTAAAAAATTTGCAGGTGTGAAACTTCTATTTTTATCCCATTTATCCCCCCCAAAAAACTATCCCTTTACAAGCTGGACATGCCATCATCACATGTGTAACATGTAGCATTTTTATCAGTTAAAC